TCAATGCAGGTGCAATAGTTTTAGTTTGGCAGTTAGACTAAATAATTCGATAGTTAAACCGAGCTTGATCTTTGTTCGGTATGAATAGTTAATTTCACACTGCGATTGTATTTATAAATGTTTAATAGCTCGTATTTAAATGTAAACAAAGGTGATATTTGGTTGCGCGCCAAAACCGAGCCCAGTTGTGGCAAAGACACAAGAAATTTACCTTAATTTGTGTAGTGCGATTCCAATTAAGGCGCATCTCAGAAACAGTATTAATTAGTAAACGATACGACAAAGCGCTTTCGGCCATTTTGTTTACTGAAGTGAAATAAAGGCCCGAACATAACATTACCAAAAACATTAAGCTGCAGACACAACTGAGTGTTCTGCTGTAACATTCGCAAGCGGCTTACGTTCGGAACATAGGGGTTTGTTGAAATTGTTAAGTCTTTTCTACTCGTATGAAGTTTGCCATGATTTTAGTTCATATTTGGGAGACTATTAACAAATGCTTCATAGAGAACCACCAACTTATTCAAACAATTTTCGACTGCAATCTCATACCACCCTTTTAAAAGAAACTGCCTTGTCTTGTTTTCAACATTTAAGATTCGATAGACCTCTAGATAGAATTACGTCTTCTGTAAGTCAATATCATCGTGGCGCCAGTCTATTATTTATTCCAATCACATTAACTTGTAAATAATACTTTAATTTAAACAAAAAAGGCGAAGCCGAAAATTTTGGTTTTTTTAATCAATAGTTTTGTATACCTCATACCGATACCGATATGAATTAATTAACTGCACATGACAAAGCGCATACATAATGTAATACAATAGGCTAGATGACAAAATTTCAATTATTTGTCCGTCAGACAAATAATTAGAAAATATTAGACTCATATAATTTTTTATTTTCTTTCAGGCCAAGAGCTTCCTCGTTGTGGATAAAAAAAAAAATAACAGTGCTACATCGGGTTGAAATGGCGCGTTACGTCACACTTGAGTAGATTTTTTACTCAAAAGTGACGTCACCATCATCATCCCTATTATGTGAAATCATCCTAGTGTATTTCAAAGTTCTATAATAAAATTATGTATTTGATCTGACATTCTGACCAATACAAAACAGAATTGAAAATCCGATAACTGAAATAAAATGTTTGCCGAACGAACTTCGCAGGGCAACCTTAAAAATGAGAGCACATTATTCGAACAAAATCATTCGAACTTTTCTCGGATTAAGCCAAAGCTCCGCGCATTGGTTCCAGTTCGTATTGCGAGAGCTTATTACCTAGCCTAATACCAAAAACTTAAAATAATATGTCTTTTATATTCAGCGTAATCAGGCCAGTAGCTTTTACCTTAGTTTAAGCACTAACCATCGCACGTATGCTCGTGAGGCGGAACGCGGCCGATCTATTTTCAATTAATAATTTTACAACTTACGCACTAATATATTTAATTAATTAATTTTGAACTTCTATTATTTTTATCTTACAGCCTGTATAACATCTATCTGGTAATCATAGAAGTTCTAATATTGGTTTCGGAGTTCGTGCGAAATGAATGGAGATTATCAGATTGGCTCGATAGCGAACATTCTGGAACTCGATGAGTTAATTTAAATTTTCCACGAATAAGTACTTTTTTGATGATATTGGCTTAGTTTTGGAATATCATTCGAATATTTTGTATTTGAATTTCTCGCTCATGCTCGTGAATGCAATCTCACATCCTATCATAGAGATATAGTTCCAAAATACTGGACTGTCCTATCGATGACATTGACAGTGGGGCGCCACCGTCAATACCGGATCGCTGGTTCCGATTTTTGCCATGTTGGAAACCATATAGTTGAACGATGGTAGCGCCCCCCTGTCATTGAGTTTGGTGGGACAATTCAGCGTGGGTCATCTATAGAGCGATTGGTTAGAAGTTAGAAGTCAATATAATTTTCATACTTTTGCGTGGGGCAAAGGAAAAGTTTTACAAGGTACCAACCTACTATTTTAAACCATATTTTGTTTACTTTAATATTTAGCAAAAATAGCTAAAAAATTAGTCCAATATAAAAAAATAAAAACCAACTCAAACTCCGACATCTCGGTACCCGTAATTGAACTCCATTTGATAAACACAGACTTTAGCAAATACTTAAGTAAATAACCTCTCATGATCCGCTTTTTGAGTCAGAAAATTACTTGAGGCTATTTGACGATTCTACGGAGACTGCGACCAAATTCAGTATTCAGCTAAATAGCTACCTATTACGCTCATAATACGCACATCTATACTAATATTATAGTTTTTCTGTGACAGACAAAATACCACGAGGGCGGAACCGCGAGCGGAAAGCTAGTAATCTATAAAATAAAAAATGAATTGCAAAATGTGTTGGTAAGCGCATAACTCAACAACGCCTGGACCAATTTTACCAATTCTTTTTTTTACGGGGAGATTTACAAAATTCAACCCCTAAGGAGGTAAAACACCCCGTTTCACCACGCGTAAGAAGTCGCGGGCGGCCGCTAGTTTACCATAAAGTATGATAAATCTTGGATAAGTCTGTGAGAAGTAAATAAATTAATCCATATTTTGTAAGCATGTGTCATGGCTCCGCTTATAACCAACAAACCAACCAGCTGTCGGTTTAGCTCTGAAGCATGGAGTAAGAAGGGTTATGGCATGTAGTCATTGTTTACAGCAGTGCTTTTCAACCTTTTTCATGGCACGACCCCCCTAGTATGAAAAAACATTTGGCGACCCCCCCGACTGTTCGAATGTTATAAAGATGTTTGTAGGGACCGAATACTTCAATCCATGCAACATTTTAATGCATTTGCATAATTAGATTGCGGATTTTGTCTTTATAACTAATGTTTTTTTACTGAGGTAGTTTTTACGACCTCTCGCGACCCAAAAGCACTGGTGTACAGTGATTGAAGACATAAAGGAGGATTTTTTCAGCTAAAGTATACCACGTTCAGATGATGAACGTTCAATGCGCGTTACAACTACATGTATATTATTCTCGGAGTGCTCAACTCATGCTAACGCGTATTCTACATGTAGCTGTAAAAGCACGAGTGTTGAGCGCTCATCATCTGAACGTGGCCTAAATCTTCAGTGTCAGCACCATTATTTTATTTATTAAGCTTGAATATCTCAACTCAATAATGTATGAATAATAATATAGGTAAGTACCCTTTTCAAGATAATATGGAATAGATTTTTAAAATGCAATCGCTTCTTTGTATTTGTACCATCCATTAGTGTAAAATGTTTCATGCATTGCATTGGTTATCTGGCCAACAATCTAAAGTAAATTATGTACTACGTAATGTCACGTCCATTTTTTAGCTTAATTAAAGGGCCATCGTTGGTTTTAGTATTTGATTTTTATTGTTACTAATAACCATATATCAGAAAACCTATAAAATTTTAAAGCGCTCGCTTTTAATTGTTATTTTGATAATAACAACGAGCTAGAACTAAATAGTAGGTATTTTAATACTATAGTAGTACCTTTATCGTTTAATTTTATTGCCAAGTTTTTTTATAAACAAAAACATCATAATTGTATCAAAGTTTAAATATTTATCAGATTTGTGAACACAAAATCAATCAGATCTCATTTTATTCCATATTCTATCAACCACACTGAATGTGTAACAAATTACAGCCAATGCGCATAGCGTTCTTTTTAGAAATACACATACAGATGAGAAAGAGACCATAGGAATTTCTATCTTGACCATAGTTCTTTTAACAACTCTCCCCATTCAGGGGCTTGATGAAACCGCCTTAGTACGCACCAATAAACCATAATAACGCCACAAAATATCTTTTAGACATAAAATTCTAAGTCCACAGCCGCCACTAAAGCACATCAATGCGATATAATAATATCAAGTTTAAAACTAGAGACATAAAATACTACGAGGATTTAAAGCGACAGAAAAATTGAAGACGAAAGCAGCATTCCTTAAAAAGTGCAACACATGAAGTATGCGGAACGCTACAACTACGAATGGTACGTACCAACCCTGGAACCCCGTCTGCTGCTGCACATTCCGCTAACATTCTCTGAGAGATCTAGAGAAGTTGCAATATTTGACTTACTTATAGCTGCTGTTACAACCACTGTGCTGGAAGCACCAACTGCCTAAGATGTCTCCAAACTGGCAGAACTCTGTTCGAGAAACGAGAGTGCAAATTGCCCAGTAACACATAAAAGCATATTCTATCACACCGAACGGTTCGTGACAACGTCATAGTAGTTTGAATCCGACGTTGATTTGAGCATATTTCTGTATATTTTATGCTGTCTCAGTAGTCTCTGAAGATATCACCCCTGTTCATTCTGGAAATTAATCTGGACTTGAGACATCTTTCGACTAACGTCATTCTGTTAAGTCTCATTACAGCTCTTGTCATTATCTGACACTCGCATGTGTTTGGATTTATGAACTCTTTTCCTCGAGTCCTAAGATTCATTGTTGTGCGTCAGACCCATCATGTGTTCAATTTGTTTGTGGCGTTTGCAGACCATCAACAGGCAGACTCGCTGCCGTTTCATTCATACATCGACCACTCAAATTTCCAAGAACGACATGAACTACTAATACAAGAGCTAACTACTACAGTAACACATTAGTTGACTCACTGATAGATAATGTTGTCCTCAGAGATGCTGGTGTTGAAGGTCTGATAGCTTCGCGGGAATAGCTTCTTCTTCCGACTGTAGAAGATGAGTTTAAACTAGCTACAATACTCGTCCTGTACAGTTAAGATTAATATCGTAGCAGATACCTAGCCAGTTTAGTTATCGTCCAGGATGTGTCAACCTTCTTTTCGTACCAACATTCGCCTTGGAGACCCCGGATACTGTTTGACCCTGCTTGGTATTGTACCGTGATATAATCAAACGTTGTAGCAACACGACAATTACCTACCTACCACAAGATACTGAAGCTAAAAATGGGAAGAAGCAAAGGTTTCACTTACTGGTAGCTGATATTGTTATCAGATCCACTGGTGTGGAAAGTGTTGTCTCCAGAAGAGTAGGAGTTCTGTGATGCGGCGTATTCCGCAGGCCGCTCGGTCACCTCCGGTTTGTAGTCCTCAGGGCTCCAAGGTCGGCCCTCAGCCAGTGCCGCGACCTATTGAAGACAACAGACACATACATTACATACATTTTTTACAGAATTAGTTACTGAATGGCAAAAACGTCAGTCATATATGTCCATCATATCTTTGTGGGAGTGTGATGTTTGAAAACATGAATGTGACAATGCTTAACTCAATACAACATACATCTCTTTCTGCAATTTATTACACAAGATCGGTGTAATTTTATTTTAAGCGATTTGGTGAAAAATATTATTGGCAGGTAGCTAAGATAGGTTAATTGATGTGTATTGTCCGTGGTACATATCTTTTCATAAAGGTTACTAAACCTTTGTTTGTCACCTGTCATCCCCTTTGCAATGGAGGGAAGTCGAACCTGAACTTTGTGTTCCTATGTTCTTCTGATTAATTTAGTTGCGGGTCCAATGACAGTTTAGGTTTCCTCCAGGACAAACTTGGCCTTCACTGGTTGGGTTTTTATTGGCGGTCAAGCTGTAGATCCTGGCTACACAGGAGTTGCATCGGTGGGAACGAGAGGTGGGAATAGTCCCGTATACATTTTTTCAGAACGTATTTTCATGACACGGGCAAAATGTTGGTTTGACCCCAGATCGTGTGTGAGGGAGCATTTCAGTTCAGTACGTTTATAAGCATTACTTAGTTTGGAACTATAGTCTGGTCTGTGATCACGTAGAATTTTGTCCAATGACCCCAAGCTACCCATTCTTATCGCTCGCGCGTAATTATGTTGCTGTCGCGCTCGCATACTCACTGCGGGCGCCCGTCGCACAGTCGCGACAGCAATATAATTACGCGCGAGCGATAAGGATGGGCTTGGGGTCATTGGACAAAATTCTACGTGCTCACAGACCAGGCTTTAGATGTCACCGTGTGCACGGCGCGATCTCGCCTCGGCGAACAAATCGCTGGTATGAAAGGAAAATGTGGTCGCAGCGCCATTCACAATATATTGGAACGTGTGTAAGTGCCTTGAAAAGGACTTAAACACGAACAGGAATTTGAATATCAACCGCTCCCCATTAGTAAACCAGTCGTAATCGGACCGTGTTGGTGTTAAGTTTGAAAATCTATTCAGGAGGTATCCTGAATGGTCGGATTCCAACGTTTGCCATCTAGTTGATATACTAGGGTTGTTCAAAAAGTAATGAGAATGGGATATTTATAGACAAAAATTAGAAGCCAGGGATAAATTGTGACGTCCACCCGAGGGGTATGGACTTTTCGTGACGTCAAGCAGGGAAACCTTATAGTCATGACTTTTTTAACATTTCAATTAGAGAATATCTCTATCTCTTGTTTAAAGATATTTGGATATTTCCTTTATCCATTTCTTGAGCAATATGATTGAATTTATCATACTTAGTCAAGTTTAATGTTTAAATAATTATATTTTTCCCTAAACCCAAGTAATGGGGAAACTTGTGGACGGGGTAAGCTAAGTAGGTTATCTCGCTGACCAAAAGATATACTTACATATAACGCCTAATATCTGAGTAAGAATATTTATGTAGTTTCGAAATGCCTAAACTAAGGCGAAACAAGGCAAACTAAGAATAATTTACTTAAACAAGTTTATCTGCTTTAATATTTACAAGTTACCTTGGAGTAGTCCAGTGTTCAGCGAGATCGAAAATCCTTTGGTCTGTTTGTGTCTAATTCAGTAATCCTGAACACTCAAACAACTTCAAAGAGAGAAAAACATTAATAAATCTTATGACGAGGAAAACCACCGCTACCTAAACCTGATCCATAATTATACATACTCAGAATATCAAGTTTAAGGCTGGTTGTAGAGTCACGCTGACGCACGCTGACCGTCAGCGCTGACAGCCGAAATGTATGCGTCGGCGCCGAGCGATCAGCGTCACTCAGGAACGTTCCCTTCAATTACATACATATTGATCTATCAGCGAGCGGTCAGCGCGATTCTAAAACCCGCCATAAGAGCAGATAACGTGTACGACACTACGAATACAAGTCCCAATTCTACTATGCAGTCCGTGACTACACCGAAATGCACTTATTCCTATCATTCTTTCTTCTTCTTTTTACTCTGTCTTATTGACGCTGGTATCGCCATATTCTATTAAAATTATCGCCACTTCAGCGGATATGATTTATACACGGATGTCATAAAAGCGCTAAGACTAACCAGCTGATGTACATTTTTGACGTTATTTAAAAAAAATACGTCACTCTTAATACTGGCATAGAATCCAACGCAAACGGGCGTTATTAAATTTTCACCGGGCGTATAAACGAATTATCGCCCCAGAAAAAAAATGCTGTGAATATGTCAGTGTAAAATCCTATATCGTGTAAAGCTGGATTAAGCGCACGGGTGGAAAGCTAACGGACTAGTGTCAGATATTATCGATACCCCGTCACCGCCGTTTACTGGCTCGAAAAGAATCCGTTAAATTGGTTAAAACTGGTGCAGGACGTTTAATGGACCAATATTTTTCCAGCAAATATCTGTGCGTGAAACTTCGACGTGCTGAAAATGCTGTTTTGAAATGTTTCCAATGACATTCGATTCTGGTGGTCGCGGATAAATCTTTATTTTCAGCAATATTTCTCTATTATTTTGTTGGAAAAAACGCTGATACGAGGTGATTCATTGTTTTTGCAGCAGCTTATTTTCACTATTATTACTTTTCATCTTTATCTCTCTGACACATAGAGAAATTTTATTTACGACAAAGTGATACTTCACTTTCATTGTACCTATTGTATTCAGACACGGCCGATCCTTTATAAATCACTAGCGTTCCGCCCGCGGCTTCGCCCGCGTGGAATTTTGTCTGTCACAGAAAAACTTTATCGCGCGCGCCCCTGTTTCAAAAACCGGGATAAAAACTATCCTACGTCCTTTCCCGGGACTCAACCTATATCTATGCCTTTCATTAAAATCGGTTCAGTGGTTAAGGCGTGAAAGCAAGACAGAGTTACTTTCGCATTTATAATATTAGTATAGATGACATTTGCTTTTAGTTTAACCTTTTATATCACACGAAAGGTCCTTATTTACGCCCTAGCTTTCCGCCCGCGGCTTCACGCGCGTGGACTACATTATCTACATATTTTACGGAACCCTATTTTCCAAAATAAAATTTAGCTTTCGAGTGGTGAAAGAATTTTTAAAAACGGTCCAGTAGTTTTTGAGCCTATTCATTACAACCAAACAAACAAAGTTTTCCTCTTTAAAATATTAGTGTAGATTGTAACTGCAAGCTCAAAGATATCGCCTATCGAACAAATTGGATGTCTCGCCCCGAGTGCATCTAAGAAAAATAACTGGCATTCCGACCTTGCCCTTGGATATCCTTGGAATATCAATACAAAGTTTCCAACTAGAAAGCAAACATCCATCCATATTGCTCGACGTCAAAGGAATATTCCCCGGTACTTTGTGTGTAGACTGTAGTTGTGGTCGGACCAGCGAAATGGGAGTGGAAAATTGCTACATTTTCACTGAATAATAATCTTTCAGATGTGATATGGCACGTGCGTGAGAGCGATAGGTATCTGACAGATACTTAATTAACCGTATATATCTATAAAAGGAACGGGCTTTTGCCTTTTAGATGGCGAAGCATAACATTTTCTTCATATTTACAGATTATGTGAAGAGTGCGTAATTTGAATATAACTACAAAAACCTATAAAGGTAATCCATTTAGAGATGTTACAGAAGATTTTGTTTCTCTGCGAGTTGCTTTTAGATACCCATAGGCGCTTTAAAGGAAAATTGTCTGCCTATAAATCAATGGTAGTGCTTGATTGCTATTGGGCGTAGCGAGGCAGATTTCAGAGCCGGTATCCATTAGTCAGCCTTTACAGGCGTGCACGTAATCTGAAATGGCAACGACCGCAGCCACCCTGCCCTGCACACGATGTTTATGTCATCCCGAGATTAATATTGATTTTAGGCTATTGGACAATAAGCTGAACAAATTTAAGATAATGTGATCTTCTGCCTAAGATAGGAATTAAAGCCACGACCATTACTTACGAGACAGCTGTTTAGCATTGACAGAGAACATCTCACAGTAAAGATTAGAAGTAAAAAATCATACTATTCAAGATATTGATCTATGCCAGGGTTTCCCAAACTATGGGTCGCGACCCAATGGCGGGTCGCGAGCGTACATTGAGTGGGCCCTGCCTGTAGAACGACACACCACCCTACCCTAATTTGGAAACTTGTATTAGATGAGTCGTAGCCCAGACAACTTTGGGAACCACTGATCTATGACATACGAGATGCCACAAATCGCTCTTTTAGATTCTTTTTTGCGCTCGCGCACCTTTATTTGATAGCCCGCGAACAACGAAGTTTACACTTTATGTTGTGTCGAAAAACGACTATGATAACACATTTCCGTTGTGTGATTGCAGTATCGAACAGCATTGCGAGGTCTTCGGGTTTCAGCAAAGTATCTGGTATTTTTAGATCTTCTATATTTTTTTCTACATTATGTGGGCACGGCTTGAGACCCTCTTTGGGAAAATCTCAAGACCTCTTTGGGAAGATCTGGGTTTACTTGGTCCCTCAGCTGATTTGAGGAGGTCTCCTACTTTGGTAACGGCTACGTATTAATCCTTGTCTGAACAAATACATTTTGGATGATATAGCAATTCTGCAAATGCCTGTTTTTCGAGGTTCCCTGTAGGAGAAGGTGGAAATTTAACTGCCGCGATTGAGTTCAAGTACCTACCTACAGGTTATCAAGTCCCATGGCCTTTGGACATGCTTTAGTTATTCGTATTCTGTAGGAAATCCACAATAAAATTTCCTTACTGTCTGAGAGAAAATAATATCGGTGAGTCTAGTAAAGGGCTTAGTGTGAGTTTACATCAAAGGTCGTCACTAGCGAGCGCGTCAAAAAATCTATGACGATTTTAGTTCTTGAAAGTATCCACTAGGGCAGCGGTTCCCGAATGGTGGTCCGCGGAACCCTGGGGTTCCGTGGAAAGGCCGCAAGGGTTCCGTAAAAAATATTATCCCACGTTTCGTGACCGACGTTGTTCGCTCGCACCGACTTGTTTACGCACAAGGGAGGGGCAGGGCGTGCGGGCGGAGTAGTACGGGAGTAGTAAATTAGGGTTCCTTGGCAAAAAAAATTGGGAAACCTTGCATTAGGGACTCTATACAATCCGTCATACATTTAATGCAATTTTTTTACGCAGTCACTAGCGAAGACGTTTGATGTAACCACCTCACACTAAGGCTAGCCCTTACTTTGGCCCCTTTTAAGTTGACAACAATAGGCTAGTTTCCTAAAAAAATTTTTTTCGTCCGTCATGTTCAATATCAAATAATATTGGACACATATATTTTTATTTGTCAATCTAACAAATAATTACATAGTTATGGTATATTGAAGTTCCGCGCGACGTCACAAAGTGCGGCACTTTTATGCACTCATTGACGTCACGGGCCTCTTCTTATGAACTTTGGCGCGCTTTATCTCTTTAAATTTTCATTAGTTTGAAAAAGTGAAAAATACGTGTAGAGTATTTTTTGATAAGTTAACTGACGGACTAATTAAAACTCTTGCTTTTTGACCCAGGAAACATGCCTATTACCCGCATGTTTATTCACTTCAATTTGTCGACATTTACCTGCATTGTATAGGTACTTTTTTTTTATTCATATTATAACAATATAATCCAGCTTACATGATCATCTCTCTGGTAAAGCCTTCAAATTGCTTTCCACCAAATTGGGTGTAGTATAGATCTTGAGCAAAAATGTCCCATTTGAATACTCAACTTTGTTGCAAAGCTACATTTTTCGACGCAATTCTTTTTGCTTGCATAACTCTTAAAAGGGTCCACGTGAACTCTTTACACAAGTTAGACGTTGACTTATGGATCGAATATTGTTAGGCTGTTACATAACTATTGATCCTAAGACACATTAGAAAACTTTCATTAACATTTTACCTAGAATAGAAACACCTCTAAAACTAGTTCTTTGCTTTTTTAGACATCTATTCCAAAGTTTTATTGCTTTTGATGGAAAAATACTGAAGATTTACTCGGATCGCCTATGCTAAAAGTAGCTTGTCTGCTTTGGTTTTTAGTGAAAAATAGATTAAAACTGTATACCTCGCTGGAATGCGACTCTCCCTTGCACTATCCCGCACATCTCCCCGCGTTCGCCCCGTTCGTATCAGAACGTCGATGTGACGTCACGGCGCCAGGTGCGTAGTTAAGTTTAAGTTAACAGGTTTTAAACTTACGCGTTCCATTTCAATTAAAATAGTAAAACACGGGTCTTAACGCGACGTTTATTAATGAGTTACATTATGTACTCACGGCTTGACATTTCGGCTGCGATGCTGCAGCCGTGTACTGTACGTAGTATGTAGTAATCCTGGTGCAAAGGCTCACTAATTTGTTTAAATTGCTTTTTACCTGTGGGACCTATAAGTGGTTTACTTGTTGCCTAACTTGTCATTATTATACACTGTAAAACCCTGGTTTTCCTAAATAAATAGATGCAACTTACCTTGGTCCGGTACATGGCCGCGGCTCTGGTGTTGTATTTCTGAGGAATGGTCATGTTCTGCTTAACGTCGGATTGGCTCTCGAAGAACTCGCGCGCTTTGAGGTTCCCTCCGACCTGTACGAGAAACACTAATATTAGGGACTACGTTCTTCTGATTAATTTCGTTGCGGGTCCAATAACAGTCTAACTTTCCCCCGGGACAAACATGACCTTCACTGGTTGGATTTTTATTGGCGGTCAAGCTGTAGATCCTGGCTACACAGGAGTTGCAGCGGTGAGAACGAGAGTAAATTCAGCTATCAGATACTGATTCTTATTTGACACTCAAAGGATGACAAAAACTAGTCTTTCTTTTGTTTTTTTTATTTAAATACTTTTTTTTTCTTTGCTTCAACTGTAGGCTTCTTCATTTACTTCCAGCATGAAAGCTCTATGTGGCTCTACGTTTCTAACATCACTATAATGTAAATCAGCAGATCATCATAGTGTCACGTTAACTTAAAGCCCAAAAGATAAGGAGACAATGTAGTGCCCCATAAGGGCTACCTTTTTTTATTTACTATATTTTGACGTTCATAAGTGCTACTGGTCTAAATTGAATAAAATATTTTTGATTTGATTTGAATATGCTTCTCTCTATTCCTTCCTTGTACATTTTTACGATTTCTTTATAAACTGCACGATTTCTAATCCTTTATTTTTCCTTTTTAGATATTTTTTCCATCGCAGACACTATTATCAGACGCATGGTCCTCTTTAAAGGATACGATTCTCCATGGGTCAATTTTTCGAACGACGCTTATATTATGATTTTCAAAGGTGATTTTTCGTACTAAAAAGGTTGCAATAGCATCTTTTTGGTAACTTTTTTTCAACAATATCATGAAGAACTCCAGGTTTAACAAAGCGGTTTGTTTAACATTTTACTCATATCTGATAAGATAACAGCATCGTTTTCAGGAGTATTTAGTTTAGGACCGTGTATTCTTTATACATATTTGACTTCTTTTTCCTATGTTGAAGAGTTACTTCATCAAAAAGATCTTATTCATCACGTAATTAGAAGTTTTCTATTTAGGAGTTTTTTAAAGATATTTTATCAGTAAAAATCTTTTTATCTGCTTTTTTTTCTTGAAGTTTTGCACGGATAAACGTATAGAACATAAGTTGGAAACGAATTTTCAAAATCTGAACACTTAATTCAGGGGTAGAGAAGCGTTAAATGAAGTAACGGCATTATATTCGCAATAACGTAACGTTATTTATTAAAGTATGATGTTGCCGCCGGTACGTTCCGCAAATATTATTAAAATTAGTAATATTGAATAAACGTGGTAATTTGAACGGTAATAAAACGATTATTTTCAGACATATTGCTTTATTCAATGAGGAGAAATGGTTAGAGAAAATAAAACGATTCAAACTATTTTTTTATTGCTTTTAATTGATAGTATAAACATTCTGCTCAAAAAAGCAAAAATAAAATTATTACACACTAACAACGTAATATTATACACATACAAATCACACATTCATATTATAACATTTTGTACATTTCATTGAAGTTGAATCCATTGCCACTTTTGCAGCTTTTTTATTCTTCATGGTGTCGTAAAACTTGGTGTCCATTGTCAGCAGTTTTCAGGTTTCCTATTTAATTTCACTTCTCATTGTTGCAAGAAGTGAAAGTATTGCGGCTTCATCTGCGCAGGCGCCGTCAAACTCTTGGAATCTTTTTAAGCAATCTTTTTACCGTGCTTCGTAGGGTATCTTTTGAAAATATGGTCTTTATTCAATTTTGGTTTTGATTTTGATTGCAGCCTCGTCTGTAGATCCGATTAAGTTGTATTTCGAGCTTTCTCTACAATGTCGAGTTACTCTAGCATTTTATTATGCACTGTATTTCTAAAACAGTATTGTTCGTTATCAAATAGCCTTTTCGGCGCTCGCGCAGCCTGACATAGTATCATGTCAATGATGATGACCTATTGCTTCACAATTTCTTCACATTTGTAAAAGTAGACATCTTGTAGGCTTGGATTCGTTCAAGACTGTCGGTTTTCGTAAACTCAAAGCAAACACTGAATTTTATTCAATTTGTTGTGCATAAAAACTTTTTTTTTAAGATTTACGTTTTAGAATGATAATGCATATTTCGCCAAAAAATTCGCGTAAACTATGCGTTGTTGCCTGTTTGCACCGCACAGCGCCCACGCATTTCGCATTAGCGAATGATAAGTGTGGCAACGTCGCACAATTAAAGTTATTTTCCCTTGATTTGAAATTTCGTGACGTTACTATCAATACCGTTATTTATCTTGTTAATTGCTTTCAATTAATGGTTAAGGAGATCTTAAGGAGGAAGGAAATTGAATAAGGCAATTTTATTCAGAGTTAAGAAAAACTGGCAAAGGCCAGTAGTTTAGGACCAAGTAAGCTCTTTTTAAATAAAATTTTAATATTATTATCAGGATTCTTTTTTTCAAATAAGGCAGCAAAAAAATGCTGCTAAGTTTTTTTGATATTTTTTTTGGTTCTTTTTTATTTTTTTAGTGATTTTATTAGTTTATACATTGTGTCTATACATACATATATACAACAAAATGGTAACAATGTCTTAATTGTATTGATATAATGTGTTAGTAAATTAGACTTAAACCTGATTTTGCTATTGCTCAAATAGATAATGGGGAAAATAATTCAATAATGAGCAATTACCAAATTTCATTATTTATTTTGAAAGAGTGAAACCGAGTGTCTATTGCCTTTTTGTTGGTTTGTTGTACATAGTATTCTAATTTTTAGAAATTGTATTATTTGATTTATTATTTCAATTAAACTGAAGTTATTTTTTGCTACTAGAAAATAGGTCAAGCCTTAAAGGCAGAGAAAATCTTATTTAAAAAAAAAAAAAAAAAAAGTAAAAAAGTATTTATTACTAAAAGAAAAAAAAAAAAAAGTAAAAAAGTATTTATTACTAAAAGATGTCACATTGTACAAATTATTCTGGCGGTCTCTGCACTAAGCAGGAAAGCTTGTATCGCAGCGGCCAATACGAACAATTACCTTAAAAATAATGACATCGGTCTTAATAGGACGGACATGTTTAAACTGGTTAAATGGACAATATGGTCTAAAATGACCTATCCCAATAATAATTATAATGTTTTGAAAAATTGAAAAAAAAATGGCCATAATTTTCTTCCAATGGTCATAATAATTGCTGGATGATTAAAAATCATGGCTTATTAAAACTTAATAATAAAAATGGTGTTTCAAACTAAATCCATCGCTTAGCATTGGAGTGATATCAATTATGGAAGGATATGGGTAAAGCATAGCATGGAACAGCACACACAATCAACATAGATAAGGATCTAGCTACAAAAGAAAAAAACCCTGATTTTTAGGCTGTGGTAGGAGAGGGTAGGAGCCACACAAGAAGCAAAATTTGACTTCTTCAAGGAATTGACCTAATAGTCGCCAGCTTGTAACGAACAGAGCGTGCAAAGTAAACAGTAAGAACTTACCATCATCTTTTCTAGTTCTATGTCTTTCCATTTATCCATAGTAACCGATCTAACGAAGGATAGATGAACCCCAAGGCTGCGGTGCACCCCTGAGCATTCCAGGCAAATCCAAATGCCATACGTCACTGACGCCCATTGCGGGTTCAGAGTGCCGCATTCGAAACATTTCTACAAAGACAAATAAATTGTTAAAACCATATAAATCACCATAAAGACCAAAATACCACCACGAAACAACTTACATGGTTTTCGTCTATAGTTCGTATAGAGTTAAGTTTTCTTCTGGTACGCGGTGATGCCATTTTTAAGAGTTGTGAAAGTTACAAACTCCCAGTGTAGTGGATTCTTTTGATTACGGGATCAAGTGAAAAACGCTGGCAGCACGTCCTGCCAGCTGGGAGCCCGGATGTCGTATATGTCAAAAATGAAATGATGTTCAGACTTGAAATGTCCACTTGGCATTCATAGACAATGTCCTATTTTTTTTTCTAACCATAGAGAGAGAGCTTGTAGTGAAAATCTACCAAAGTAGTAGAAAAAAATAATCTTGTCTATAATTATGAATTTCGTTCAGAAATGAGAACGAAATAGTTTTGTTTACAATAAAATCACTTGTTTTAACAGTAAAATCCGTTATACAGTGTGAGTCACGTTAAAGTGTACATATGAAAATAGATGAAACTAGACCTATTTTTATCGACAAAAAAGGGGTCAAAATTTTTTTGAGATTTTATTTTTATTTTTTATACAGGGTGACAGGTAAAGCGATACATTCCTTGAAAGGGGTTAAAGTAGAGCTTATTTGTAGTCATTTAAGTCATATGACACCATGTCCGAAACTTGTTCATTTCCAAGTTATTCAAGATTTAAGTATTTTTTAAAAAATCTCCAGATTTTATGTTAAAATGTATCCTTGTAATGAAGAATACGGAATATTAATGTTTACTTTTTTGTTGTATTCGTATAGCTAAATAATAAGATTGACATTTTAAATAAAAATTTGCAAGAAAGAATCGTCATTACTCAAGTAAAAGCTAAAAAACCATGTATTATTTTGCAAAAAAAATATGTTTTAGGTAATTAAACGAAGAATTTCCAAGAAAAAATGTATGGAATGTTGTGTACAAATTACAGAATTTAGTTCCTTGATTCATTAGCTATTCAAAAAGGTACAGGTGTTTAACAAACACTACATAATTATTTTTTTATTTGAATTTAAACGTCTAGTAAGATACTTTCATAAAAAAATAAATAAATAAAAAAGTCACACTAACAACTGTTCTTGGGTCTCAATAAATGAAAAACTTAGTATTTTAATAATAATTGTATCACCTAATTTTATCTAGGTACATTATTTTAAGTCCTGCTCAAACTGTGAGCCCCGTCTTCTAATACAAGCTCGTAGTCTGTTTCTCACTTCTGTTTTTGTGACTCTTGTTGTCAAACTTTGCTGAATATCTTGAGCTGCCCTCTGAATGCGCTCACGAAGCTTTCACACACACAGCACACTTTCGGCTCAGTGTACGCCAATGGATGGATCAACAATATCCACTTCGTTGGATTGGGCGCGGTGGACCCATTCCTTGGCCAGCCAGAAGTCCGGATCTGACCCCTTGCGATTTTTATTTATGGGGTCACATGAAGTATCTCTTGTATGTAACCCCCGTAAACAACGAGCAAGAGCTTCGTGAGCGCATTCAGAGGGCAGCTCAAGATATTCAGCAGTTTGACAACAAGAGTCACAAAAACAAAAGTGAGAAACAGACTACGAGCTTGTATTAGAAGACGGGGCTCACAGTTTGAGCAGGACTTAAAATAATGTACCTAGATAAAATTAGGTGATACAATTATTATTAAAATACTAAGTTTTTCATTTATTGAGACCCAAGAACAGTTGTTAGTGTGACTTTTTTATTTATTTATTTTTTTATGAAAGTATCTTACTAGACGTTTAAATTCAAATAAAAAAATAATTATGTAGTGTTTGTTAAACACCTGTACCTTTTTGAATAGCTAATGAATCAAGGAACTAAATTCTGTAATTTGTACACAACATTCCATACATTTTTTCTTGGAAATTCTTCGTTTAATTACCTAAAACATATTTTTTTTGCAAAATAATACATGGTTTTTTAGCTTTTACTTGAGTAATGACGATTCTTTCTTGCAAATTTTAATTTAAAATGTCAATCTTATTATTTAGCTATACGAATACAACAAAAAAGTAAACATTATTCCGTATTCTTCATTACAAGGATACATTTTAACATAAAATCTGGAGATTTTATAAAAAATACTTAAATCTTGAATAACTTGGAAATGAACAAGTTTCGGACATGGTGTCATATGACTTAAATGAATACAAATAAGCTCTACTTTAACCCCTTTCAAGGAATGTATCGCTTTACCTGTCACCCAGAATTCTTTTTCTTCCAATTACTTATTGTAAAGAAAACGTAATAACTTTTAAACTAAGCGGTATATCCTGATAAAATAATATTTTATACCGCGTCGTTCCACAGAATCTAATCTATGTGAATTTTTGGATTTAACATTGCAAGCTATGGAGGATGACTTCCAGGTGGATGCTGTGTATACGGATTTTTCGAAAGCGTTTGACAAAATTTCCCATAACTTATTGATTAGCAAAATCGGAAGGGTAGGTATACACGGCGATCTCCTGAGATGGCTGACCTCATACTTGCGCGAAAGATCCCAGGCAGTTGCGATAAAGGGCTATACTTCTAGCTTTGTTCCTATCACATCTGGCGTGCCTCAGGGCTCTCATCTCGGCCCTCTTCTCTTTAATATATTTATTAATGACGTCATGAATTGTTTTCTTCATTCCAAAGCATTATTATACGCCGACGATACTAAAATTTTTACATTCATTAAATCTGTTGAAGAATCATTGCTATTTCAAAACGATTTGAATAATTTTTATGATTATTGCTCAGCTAATAATCTAAAATTAAATATTGATAAATGTCATACTATTACCTTTTCACGCAAAAAACGTCCGATTAATTATAATTATACATTTAATGACATTATGATCAAAAGAGTGGCCGAGGTGAGAGACCTGGGAGTATATCTAGATAATGAACTTAACTTGGCGTCTCATATTGATAGAGTTACTGCGAAATCTTATAAAATGTTGGGTTTTGTCTTTCGTCAATGTAAAGATTTTAAAAATATAAACACCTATATAATGTTGTATAACTCCTTAGTAAGAAGTCATCTCGAATATGCATCAACAGTATGGAACCCAATTTATGCCACTTATATTGATCAGATGGAAAGGATACAAAACAAATTTTTAAAAAGACTTAGATACTTGTTTAGGGATCATTCAGCGCAGCTTCAGTCATTAGAATTAAGACGTGAACATAGGGATCAAGTATTTTTGTTTAAAATTTTAAATGACTACATAGATTCATCCTTCCTTCTCAGCCGAGTGTCATTCAGGTGCCCCAGGCTCAGTGCCCGCTCCAATGCAGTTTTCTCTGTTCCTATTTGTAGAACTAATTATTCAAAGAATAGATTTCTTGTTCGTGCTTGCAACACACATAATGTTCGATACAGCCACATTGATATATTCAATTGTTCTCTGCGTGTTTTTACTTCACATGTTAAGAAGGTTGACCACGTTTAAGTGGGATTATCTTGTTTCTGATGAACGAAATTACCTAGTTAAATTACTACGAAACTTTTTATAATATGTCTTCGCTATTGACAAATTAACATTGGAAACTTTTTTGGCTTATGAATAAACTAAACTTTTTCCTGTACCTATATGTAATTAAAAGCTGTATGTTTCTTTCATTAAATAAATAAATAAATAAAATAAAAACAGTAATAATGCTTAATAACAGGCGATACTAAAAAAATACATAAAATACACAAAAAAGGCCAACAAATAATAAAAAATGATACTTTTTGAAAAAAATCTGCTTTTAAATTCGTGTTTTTTTGGTTATTTGATAAATTTCTCCAAAAAATGCCCTATAATAGGTGGTTTTTATTACTTTGTATTATTCTCTATCGTATTATCTTTGTAAAACCAAAAATCGCATGTCTCTATCCCTATCACAACATTTGCTATGATTTTTTGTCGATAAAAATAGGTCTTGTTTCATCTATTTTCATATGTACACTTTAAAACAGTACTTTTTCAACTCGTTACAATCATTAACCAGTAATATAGCCTGACCAGGAACATAAAAACCCTCGCCATGTTGCGGAAAACTAATGGTACTAATTTCTTTTAATGGCAACAGTAACTGAAAACTTCATTGACATGTCACCTCACCATGCATGTCAGTCTATTGTTGTCAAAGTGTAAACAAACTTTATTTTAAATGTGTGCAATTGATTTCGTGAATTAAATTGCTAAAATATTTTTATAGTCGTGAAAGAAAAGTGGTTCACGATGTGTTAATGTATTTGTCGAAGAGAAATACTAAGGGTTCGGACAATATTTTCATTGAATAATGTTTCCGACAAAGGTTGTCAAATTGACTGACATGTTTATCGTATGGTACAGTCCACTATGAAAATTAGCTGTAGTCTGTTTCAACTACCTATTTTAAAGTTTTTTGTCACTTTCTAAGTTTTGAATTTTATGGAATTGGGAAAGAAGTACCGAGTTTGAAGCGTTCATGAGCAGACATTGCAGTTGAATATTCATGTTCTGAATTTGATTATTGATGAATAATAAAATAAATCCTACTAGCTCGATTGATGGTTTCATTTAATTTATTTAAACCAGGTTATCTTTAAATTTTACAATAAGAAATCACAAATTAAAAGAACGTGAAATACCCAAAAATCAAAGTGATTTTTTCACCAATATTCTTTCTTTATTCAACATAAAAATAGCTTAATATAATAAAACAACATCTTCTTTAAAATATTTACTTTGAAACGATATTTAATTCATTGTTATTGTTTTGCTATAAACATTTGAAAACTATTAAAAAACGCCGCGCGCGAACCATTTCCAATGATGCCCCTTGAATCGCCGCGCTTCGCGTAAACGCTCTTAACGTGACTCATACTGTATAGCCTGACCAGGAACATAAAAACCCTCGCCATGTTGCGGAAAACTAATGGTACTAATTTCTTTTAATGGCAACAGTGGGTCTAGTCAAAATGCCATCGCAAACCAATATGAAGTTTTCACTAATGTCAGTCGCCGCGTCACCAGTAATTCGATTCGATCGGAAAATGGCAGCCAAAATGCACATTGAACCACCAACGACGCGGCGATATAAAAGTTCATTCAAAATCGAATAAAAGTTAAAAAATGTCTATGACTTTGCGATTGTTTTTACTTTTTTCAGCTTTTTTTTTTTAAATTTGTTTCTTCCTTCCACAGATAAGGATAGATGCAGCATGTGTCAAAATTTGTATGAAGCCGAGCGTGCCACTTTTTAAACGTCATTAGTGTCATTTTAGCGAATTTTAGTGATTGCCGCAACGTAAAAGTAATCGTATCATCGTACTGCATTCGCAAAGTCATCGAATGATATCGTGTGACTCGATTCGAAAATTAATTAATTCCGATAAAACTGATATTTTGTTAAATTTATTGCTGTCAAAGTGTAAACAAACTTTATTTTAAATGTGTGCAATTGATTTTGTGAATTAAATTGCTAAAATCTTTTTATAGTCGTGAAAGAAAAGTGGTTCACAATTTGTAAAAGTATTTGTCGAAGAGAAATATTAAGAGTTCGGACAATATTTTCATTGAATAATGTTTCCGACAAAGGTTGTCAAATTGTCTGACATGTTTATCGTATAGTACAGTCCGCTATGAAAAATTAGCTGTAGTCTGTTTCAACTACCTATTTTAAAGTTTTTTGTCACTTTCTAAGTATTGAATTTTATGGAATTGGGAAAGAAGTACCGAGTTTGAAGCGTTCATGAGCAGACATTGCAGTTGAATATTCAAGTTCTGAATTTGATTATTGATGAATAATAAAATAAATCCTACTAGCTCGATTGATGGTTTCATTTAATTTATTTAAACCAGGTTACCTATAATAATATTTTTTCGTTAATTTATGAAAATATCAAATTAGCCCGTAATCCTGAATCCTGATACATAAAGTCATCAGCCTATTAATTTAACACAGGTACGACTGTACTCAGTGTTGCACTATCAAATGCAATTGACGCGCCTCTATGCCAGGGTTTTTATGTTCCTGGTCAGGCTATATTTAACTGGATAAGAAAATTAAGCAATAAATTATTACCAATCTAAAAGATTATGAACATTTCTTGTCAGAATAATGTTATGAATCTTTCATAGAAGTCTTCGCGGCTTAATTTCGTATAAAATATTATGTGAAATAAATAAATAATGAGCATTTCTCATAAAAAATATTTACCATCTTAGAAAATGGTTCATATTTTTTTTTCAAGATCCTTTTTGTTATGAAATTGCCTGCAAAAATATTGAAAGTTGATTATGTTTTTGTCCATTGTGTAGGGTAAAACATGCGCAGGAGAGATCAGTGGGTATGTATCCATGCCATACAAAGAAAGACCTTTTTTGTATGGAATATTGACGTATTTGATTTGTTAAAAAGTGCAACTTGTTCAGGGGAGGCCAGTGCCCCGATTACACAAAATATTTTCAACTACAACGCGACTAGACGACGACCGAAAATCACAAATTCGTAATATCGCGGTGTCGCTTTGACAGCTAGTTCAAACGAAAACAAAACGCAACTTCTTATTTGTGTAAAAGCTGAAAGAAAGCTACTTTTTCCCAAACTCAAGTCAAACGCCTTCACGAACATTTGCTGTGTTTTAGTAAAAAAAATAAGGTGTTCGGACTTTTAATGGAAAGTGAATTAATCCGTTGTTTCGTCTTTGTTTGCACGTGAACACTGAACTTTACCGCGATACCGAATTTGCACTGTAATGAAAAACGCAGCGCAACGCAACTGGAGAAAGAAAAAAAGAAAGAAAAGTATTTATTCGGTGCAAGTACAAAAGAAAAAGCGCCAACGAATTGGAAATGTTAAAAGTTAGTACAATCGGGGCACAGGCATAGTGAATTCACATTTTGACATCATAATATTCACATCCACACAGATTTTGATGATTCTAAAATTATTATTATATTTTGTTGGACCGCAACTTTTCGTTCAGAAATTGAAACTACCATAGTGGTAGAAACCAGATTTTATACTCTGGCAACACGAAAATAGACAGCGGTGCATTCACTCAAGACAGGAAGGCCGCACGGCATATCAAAGCTATCGTTTCCATCGTTCGCATGGTTACAATAAACTAAATTTATACGCTGTTCAGTGTGTTTGTTGTTGTCATCGGGTCCTGGAGCTCAGCCTCATTTCACGTCGGGACTCTGTGGGATTCAGACGTCTGATACATTCTCTCTCCGCTATCCGGATATATCTTGCACTGAGGCTGGACGTTTTTGAAATGATATAGACCTGTTTTGAACGAAGTGAAAATGAATAATACCGTAGAAGTGGAGTACAATGAAATTGCCAGCAGGAACGCTTGGCCTCTAGTTTACCAGGTGAGTCTGCGTAGGTGTAACTTAGTGTACAACTCTTGCCACGCACTTGTACTAGTGTAATCTAACGAAATCGCGGTTAGGGAAATAGTTCAAAAGTAATTTAAAACTTTTTCCTCGGGGTGTATTGTGGAAATTAGATTCGAAATTAAAGAGAAAGTGTTGTTTGTTTGATCTTTTGCTTTGTTGTGGTTTCTTGAAGAACTTTTTAAGGTTGCCTAACTGACAGGCACAGATCGTAAACACGTACAGCCTAATGACAATGAACCCTGTTTTCGTAAAAAGTTTAGGTGTTAGGAAGTGGGATATTTGAAACTTTTAGTGGTATATTTGTCGTTTTTGACAAAGAAGCTGCCTGTATTCAATGAACAACTTACTGTAGGCCACTGAAGTCTGAAATTCTGAAACTGGCTGTGTGGTGCCTAGCGATTTAAGTGACTGTATATTGCAAAGCGAATTGCTGCCTATTGATTTGATAACTCCTAATGAATGGCAATGAATGTTGAAGCTGCCACAGCGAATTACATATTGTAAGATGTGGAGTAACAGTGCCATGAAGATCAAGATCATATTGAAAATCAATACTCTGATGGACAGTTGGCAACAGATGGCGCTCTGTGATATATCTGATGGATCAATACTTACTATATGGATTAATCGACACTGCAGTTATTGATATGGTGGATCGGGCTGGATTGTTTCTTGGATTCAAATTGAAATGAAGAAGAAGGGTGAAAACTTTTGGAAATGGACTAGAAGCAACTAGCAGGCAGATGGCACCGGACTTGAGTAGACATTGCTCCAGTAATGGTTGAGGGGGTCAACCTTCAATGGATATTTCTGCTGTCAGTCTTCGAGATCATTTCATAGGCCATGCACTGTTGGATTGCTCACACCTCCATCCATTTTGAAGCTGTTCATGTATGGTTGCCAGTACCTGTCCATCAGGCCTTTGATCATCAGCCTCTCTGAGCAATTTGTGAACCAACTAAGGCTTATTACCAAAAAAAAAATTGAAGAACAAAACAAGTATTGATTTAAGACACAAGTTCAAAAGAATACTAAAAGCAAGCCAAGTAACCAAATAGTGATCTATGATGAAGCAATTTCATACAGTCATATTGTCTGGATGATAACTACACAAAATAAATGACAGTAAAAACTATAACATGAACCAACTTTGAGAGAGATCATTGTTTACTTACATGGTAAACAAATTAAACATTATGTGTAGTACCAAGGAAGCATGAAAATTTACAATTTGAAGAAACTACTGATGCATGCAGAAAAGCTTATAATCATCATATTTGCTTAAGAATGTAGTAGTTAATATTTTTATTTATTTAATAAAATAAATTGTATAACAAAGGTGTGATTCATTTTCCTTCCCACCTGGTAAAAGAAATTTATAATAATGAATTATTTTTGCTTTGAGAACTTGTAAAACAAACTAATTAAGTTCATCCTTGTGCTTCTTTTTTAATTATGAAATCATCAACATACAATGATCTTGATCTAAAACAGTATATAGTAAATTGGGATTTAATTATACTATATCAAAGTTCAATTAATATTAGGGAAAAATTGTTCTGCTTATTTTAAGCCGATCCATGCAACCACTGTTCCCAATACTTATCAACTTCCTTCCATTATTCAATGAATTCACTCTCGTGTCTAAAGTTCGTACTGGCATAGATTACCAACAATTTATGAATCACATTTGGTTCAAAACTGCGCGCGCGCAGATCATCTTAAGTTTTTAATTAACTGGAAATAAGCCTCACAAACGATCAACCATATGCAATAGACAGTTTGACACCATACCCCTATAATTCGAAACCACAACTTTTTTAAAAAGACCCTTCATTCTTGTCTTAAAAACTTAATTAATTTTAAATTACCTGTAAATTATGTTTTTTGTTTGAAAAAAGTAGTTTGATTGAGTTGACAAAATAGTGACGTCACTTGCTTGTAGTGCCATACAAAATCTATGGAAGAGTTTCGTTTTGACAGTTTTAAAAAGTATGTCATTGAAGGCTATCGTTTTTATACTTAAAAGTTGGCACCCCTGGCGATTGACAGGACCTTACTCTACAGTGGCGCCATCTTGATGAGTGCAAATGCGATAGTCCTCCTACTACTTTAGCGCTCACCAGTTGGTGCCACTGTCTTCGCTACTAGCAAGTGACAGGACCTTACTCTACAGTGGCGCTAACTGGTGAGCGCTAAAACGATAGCCCTCAATGATTGTGGTGGTGTCAACATCTCTATTCGGCTGAAACGCAATTTTCCTACTGATTTTATCCCATACATCGGTCAATTGTCACTTATTGGGCTAAATGCACCAGCTTCTAAATTAGTTTGATATAAAACCAATTCAAAGATTCAGAATTTAAAGGTAACTAAGATAAGTATTCCGTTATTTCATTAAAATAAACTCCATGCAAGAGAAAAAAATACGTTTGTCTAATTAATTTCTAATTCTTACATTTTCTAAGGTCATTATTTGGTTTTTTGTTATTATAAATCGAATAAAGACCACATGGCTGCGCAAGCGCAGCTTTAGAGAATGAGAACCGATAAATCGATATCGGTCGCTGAAAGATCCTATCATCTTAGTAAACCGTACTCAAAGATAAGTTATTCCATTATTAAAAAAAAAAAATATAATTCAAGAAAGTTACATCAGTCTCATAGTTTTAAATTCAGTTCCAAGACCACTCCATGGAGCTTAAACATCGATTATGTACCTCGTCTTAACACAAGCCCAACCTCAAATTGAATTACAAATCATTACTTGCAGTGGTTCCGCATACGGTCTATCGATTCGGCTATTTATAATAATTTAATTATAAATATATTTTCGATAAAACTGCCTCCGAAAGATACGTAGAAATACGATAGATCTAATAACGGTTGACTTAAAAAGCTAGATTTACGCTATATTTTACCTCCAAAATGAGTTAATCAAAATCAAAATTATTTTATTCAGTTTAGGTAGGCCAATATTTTGGTAATTATGAACCTAAAAAAGGTAGCCTTTATGGAGCACTTTACGTGTCTCATTATCTTTTGGGGCCCTTCCAGCGCTTCGAGACAAACATTTTATTATGACAAGTGCTGAAAAGAAACGCCGCGGAACAAAAATTCTGCCATATTATCGTAAAAATATCTATCTAATACCATAACTGAATTAATTCACACATTCGCAAAAAAAATATAATAATTACAGTTACATAATAATCGACGAAAATTATAAATTAATATCATCTATAATATAAAAATGAATCGCAAAATGTGTTTGGTAAGCGCATATTTAACTCAACAACGCCTGGACAAATTTTACCAATTTTTTTTTTATTTTCCGGTGAAGTCCAAGGATGGTTTTTACGGCGTGAAAAATTCGAATAATTTCCGGAAAAACCCAAAAAACAGCCCGTTTTTCACGCGGACGAAGCCGCGGTTGAAAAGCTAGTAACTAATCAATAAAAGAGAAAACAACTACTTCGCTTAAAAAGTAGCACTTTACGTAAGTGATGTTGTATTAATATAATTGACCTAAATTCACCATAGGATTGCTCTTATAGCAATATTTTGTTTGTCGTGAAATGTTACTATTTCTGCCAGCGTGTGGTTTTAACATTTTTTAATATACTCGCAGGTCTTCGATTTATAGGAAAATTGTTTGTTTTACACATAGTTTTGCAAATTAGTCTTTAATTTCCGGTTTCATGAAGTCTTATACTATTCTTTCAGTTAAATAAAGATACAATATACAGTTCCAAAACCTTATTTTGAATCTATTTACACCCGTTTCTCATATTCAATCCGTATCCAAATCCGGATTGCAACCGTCAAATTTCAATCTGTTTTCGATCAAATATCCATAATTTTTGATGCGGTTACACTTTGATATTGTTCAAATAGTCTTATAAACTATATGAAAATGTAAAAACATCGAAAACCGCAGATATTTTGACCGAAAACATATTGAAATTTAGATTACGATTGAATATAGAAATTCAGCATTAGTCTACAAAATTCAACTCGACTGAACGAACACTATTATCGCATATCTAAAAAAAAATACGTACATGAGTAAGTCAATGAATATTATCAACATCCATTTATCTACATTTGCAATTGTTGCGAAGACGTATGCAAAATAGATTGCGATAGCCAAAAAAAATGTTTCCTTGACAGCAAAAATGGCTAGATGTATAAAATACATAAAATTCAAATTAAAAAGTGTATGGTTTTCTTATTCAAAAACATTTACGCGATATTTTATTTTATTTCAATATTTTGAACACGTGACGTAAAGACATACATTTATGTAATTTAATTTAATTATCCTGAGATACAGTCTGACCTTTCTACTCGTACTAGACTCGGTCCCATATACAAAAGGTCTTAGTCCATAGAACTAGCTAGAATTTATGGTTTAGATCAGTCGCTTAAAATATTGTTCATCGTGATATTTTTACTAGGATCAAATTATTATATGCCTAGGGAGCCTATGATTAAGGTTATCTATAGTTACAGAGCCCACTGTTTTTGACACATCATTAAGGCTGAGTTGCACCACCTAACGTTGACCGTAACTATGACGATAACCGGTGTTTTTGTATGGAGTTTGACAGATTTTTGACGTTTGTCAAAGTTAAAGTAAGATGGTGCAACCCAGCCTTAGTCCCAGAACAGACGGTGAAACTGCAACTTTCTGATGAATGAAACTAAAACTGAAAGTTTCAAACTGGTCGCGTCATGTGTGGTCTCTCAACGGACGCTATGGCAGAAACTTAGATGCAACTCAAAAGTAATTAGCAGTTGCAGTTTCGTTTCACCGTCTGTTCTGGGCCTTAGTGTCACGAACTATTTGAAGCTGACCGTAACAACCCAAAATGCTGACCACGGTTCTTGTCCGCAGAAAATCGGCAGAGAATGCCAAAGCTACCCGTACACCTGCATTGAAGCGAAGAAGCCGCAGAACAAGCCGCTGAACCGCTACCGGGATGTGAACCCGTACGACCACAGCCGGGTCATCCTGCAGCGGTCCGAGCGGGACTACATCAACGCCAACCTGGTTAAGGTAAGCACACGCAGGTACGCCGTTGGAAGGCTTGGGGGTAGATAGTTTCAAGAGAAATTGCAGGGAAATTCAGGCAGAGTAAATACAAATGAGTAGGTCATCTTCATAGAAACGCCCGAGCGCGGTTTGTATGTGAGCGCGCCGCGCCAATACGTATGCGGCGCTCACGCACACACTGACAAAATTTAGCGTGGATTAACGGTGAGCTTAGGGTTGCCAGGTCCAAAATCACAAAAGCCGGACTTTGTGCTTCATTTGGCCGGACATTTTACCTTAAAAGCCGGTCATGTGACGGTTCATGAGTGATTAATATCATCATCGGTTGCTATCCAACATCCTGATGCGTGCGCTTCATATGATTCTGTGGCTTGACTTTCGCCTGGCGCGGCAACCGGCGGACGCCGCCTGGGAACCCTAGATGAGGTGCGCTGAATTTTGTCAGTGTGTGCGTGCGTATTGGCGCACGCTCACATACAAACCGCGCTCGGTGCGTTTCTATGAAGATGACTCATTTGTATTTACTCTGATTCAGGGCAGATATGAATTGAAGAAATATTGCCCAAGTGCGTATCATGCCACGCGCAGTGTAGAGTTCCGTAGTTGTCCGTCGTTACCACAATATATTTCAGAAGCAAGCAATTACTTCATCTAAAGTCACTTTTCATATTTTATTTTCTTCGAAGGAATTTTTACTGGTTCAGAAATTTTATAATACATGAGTCAAATGACTATTACTCCTAAACTAACTGAGTCAAAGTCAAAGTCAAAATTTCTTTATTTGTTTAGACTAATAAATAGTTCTTACAAATCGTCATTTTGCTCTTAAGGAGCCTCTACATGTTTCATAATCTTTTTACCCTACCAGCGCTTCGAGACCAACATTTGGCAAGTGCTGAGAAGAAGCGCCGCAACAAACTCAGTCACCACTGTCTGCCGGTTAATATAAATAAATGTAAATAGTAGTAGTAGGTACATTCGATTCAGGAGCAGTTCACTGAATTTACCATGCATTCTTGTATGGTGTATCTTATAAGAATGGGTATACAAGATTGCGTGGTATATTAAACAAGGTAGTGACGTGCTAATATCTAGACTTACATATTAAGATACTAGTAGAAATGACTCGCATACATAAATTTGAATAACTTGGATTGACCAGTCCCCGAAAGCAGCGCCTGTTCACAGACATGACGAGTGAACCAGCCATCGCTTCACTCGACCATATTAGAGGGAATGTAACGACCCGCCTCACTACGCCACCACCCCAGAGACATTTTAGTGAGAATGACAATTCCAAGTTATCTCTTTAAAAAAAACTAATAATAAAGCTAAGTAACAGTCCAGATTGAGAAGCATGACACTATAACATTTGAGAAATTATTATTAGTTTATACATTACTTTTCATTTTAATTCTTTTTAGTGCGAGCATGAGAGGACCATAATCCTACTCCCAGGATGACTTATCATTAAGAAAATCTCGAGTTGTATAATAGGCTTTTTTAAGCATGTGATCTTTAACTATACCTTTAAATTTATTATACGGTAGCTCTTTATATTTATCAGGGACTTTGTTATAAAAATGGATACCTTGTCCCATAAAAGTGGCAAACACTTTATTAAGTCTAAAAGCGGGTATAGCCAATTTATTTTTATTTCTAGTGTTAATTTGGTGAATATCACTTTTCTTTTTGAATTCATTAATATTTTGTTGAATAAATAGAATACAGTTTAAGATGTATTGTGAAGCGGCCGTGAGAATGCCAATTTCTTTAAACAATTCTCTAAGGGACGCTCTTGCTTTCATTTTATACAAGTATCTTATCGCACGTTTTTGCAAAATAAATATTGTTTCAAAATCTGCAGCTTTGCCCCATAGCATGATTCCATATGACATTAGGCTATGAAAGTAGCTAAAGTAAACTAAGCGAGCTGTTGAAACATCGGTTAATGACCGTATCCTTTTTATTGCAAAAGCCGCTGAGCTGAGCTTTCCCGCCAGAGTTTCTATATGGGGGCCCCACTGGAGTTTTGAATCCAGGGTAATTCCCAGAAAAACAGTAGAGTCTACCAGATCGATGGCATTATTATTAAGTTCTATTTGGGTACTAACTGTTTTTACGTTAGGCAAAGAGAATTTTATACATTTTGTTTTCTTTGCATTAAGTTGTAAATTATTTGTAGTGAACCAACTTAAAACTCTTGTTAGTGCATTATTTACATCGTCAAAGTTATTTTTACTTCTATCAATATTAAAAATCAAAGATGTGTCATCAGCAAATAACACGATTTCGCAAGAGTCCTTAACAAAATATGGTAGATCATTAATGTATATAAGAAACAAGAATGGACCCAGAATTGACCCCTGCGGAACTCCCATTTTCACAGGTGACCCAGAAGACAAAACACCATTTATGTCAACTTTTTGAAGTCTAAAGTTTAAATAGGATTGTATTAAATCCAAAGCCGAGTCCTTCACCCCATAAAAGTGCAGTTTGCGAATTAGCGTTTGATGTTCTACGCAGTCAAAAGCTTTGATTTATCTTAATCGTTATAGTTTTCCTTGAAAGTTCATAAAAATCAGTATTATTACGATTTTTGTCCAGATTTTTCAAGCCAACAGTTTAGTTTTTAGAGGGGGGAGGGGGACGCCCTACTCGAACAAAAATTGGCACTTTAAACTTTAATAGTTTGTAAACAGATCCCTAAATGGTAAAATAGTCTTAGAAACTCCTAAGCTATTTTAAAAGACCTATCCAACGATAACCCACTCGATGGGTTAGAAGATGAAAAAAAAAATCATCCCCACTTTACACGTAGGGGAGCTACCCTAAAAAAATTTATTACCACATACATCTATTTATTACCAGTATTTATAAAGCACTTGTAAACCTAGAAGTTATAACTTAATAAAAACTTATAAAAACCTTTAAATACCTACGCAAGTATAATTCTCGACTCGAGCTTAAGAAATTGATATGACCTGCCCTTTGATTAAAATGGCCTTGATTATAAAGTTCTCTCTTAAGATTTTGACGATAACGACACCAATTTAAATCTTAAGTTTCATGCTTTTAATAATAATTATGATTAAAATTGAGTCCATCAGGTTTTTGAGATGAAATACCTTTAGGGACACAGTAATGTAATATCAGCTTTCCAACGTCTATGCCTTCTATGTAATTTATTTTGGCAGATTGGTACACAGCTAGTAAATAAGTAACACTCGTGTCATATCGTTGCCGGTAGATGACAAGTTATTCAATGCAAAAGAAAGTAATTTTGGAGCCAATGAAACGCTCTGTATTAATCTGCCCATAAGTACTAGATTTTCGTGTATAAGGCTTGTTAATTTTCCAGTAATCTTAACCCTTATGTGAATATAGTTTCCATCCCAAATTGAATCTTATTTCCTTTTGTTAAGGTTCAAAAACAATGCAAAATTTGGACTAGGATTGCCCGTTTAAGGGTTGAAACAAATTAATTTCAATGCATTTTTATAGAAATTAAAAGAAAATTAGAAGCCTTTAACACCATAATAATATAGGAGGTCAGCTGATTCGGCGAAAGAAGATAGCAACTCAAGGTGAGTGCAAATTACGTGGGAGAACATTCACACAAAAATATACCTTTCTGAAAAAAGAAGAAACTCAAAGTCATTATTTGCTTGGACTATTAACAATAGTGCTTACAAATTATTTGAGTACACAACTTTTTTAAAAAGACACTTCATTCTGGGCTTAAAAAATTAATTAATTTTAAATTACCTGTAAATTAAGCTTTTTGGTGGCTTTGTAATTGAAAAAATAAAGTAGTTTAATTGAGTTGACAAAATATTGACGTCACTTGCTTGTATTGCCCTACAAAATCTATGGGAGAGTCGCGTTTTGACAGTTTTAAAAAGTACGTCATTTGATTGGTGGTGTCAACACGTGTATTGTTGCTAAGAGCAGAACAGGTCTTCTTTTATTTCCAAATAATCGTTGATTTCCAATTATCCTGCTTTCGCCTCCGAGATTTATTTTACCATGTAGTACCCCTGTACGACAAGCCAATCCGCACACAATATTCAGCGCAGTAGTAGTAAAAAACAAAAGAGCGGGCAACCCCACCCCTACCACGCTGTGGGCTCGGTGTCCGAGCGGTCTCATTCCTTTGTGCGCACGCGCAACGACCGCACGCAGTATAAGAAAAATGCTTAAGTGACGTCACCAGGACGTTTTTACCGACAAAAAACGTAATTATTTTAAGTTGTGCAGTGTAGTGACGAGAATTAGACCCAACACAAGGTTGGTTGTAACAACTATTTTGTGCAAGTGCTCGTACATTTTTATTATAAGCGTTGTGACACGACGCGTAACTTTGACCCATTTTTAGCTCCAAGTTAACGCGCGATGTTAACCAGTAGCCATTTTTTCCAATCCGCACACAATATTCAGCGCAGTAGTAGTAAAAAACAAAAGAGCGGGCAACCCCACCCCTACCACGCTGTGGGCTCGGTGTCCGAGCGGTCTCATTATATTTAGAGAAGAGATGACATTGACGTTTACCTCCAGGGAAGAAGATATAGAAATCTTCGGGTTGGGAGGGACCTTAAATCTCTTCGGCGAAAACAGGATAATTTAGATCGAACTTCACTTGGTAAGTTCGTTTGATCATTTAAGAAAGGATATCATAAGGGAATAATTGGATGTTACCCAAAATTATTTTGTTCGTATCCAGGAAACGGATACGTCCTTTTTTCAGTGGAATCGGAATGTATATTTTTTTTACACGATAGGTAAGATGATGTGTGAAAGTTCTTCTATGTGAATATAATACAAATAATCTATAAGATACGTTTCCATTCTTTACATTTTATGCAAAAACAACATGAATTAATGCTACTGACATAGTTTACCGTTTAACAATAGTGACTGAATTTCTTGCGCTGCTTCTCAACACTGGCCCATTTATTGGCCTGAAGCAGTGGTAGGGTTAATACTGGGACGTGTAAAAGTGCTTTTTTAAAGCCTTATTGCAGAAACAAATGAGTTTTATGACTTTT